CTGTCTACTGTTACCTATTGCCACAGACTTCTCAGCCTCTTGAGCCTTAACTGCACGTCACTGCTCGTGGTCATTGCTCAAGGTTGAGGGAATGCGCTCACATACATCCAATGATTCTGAAGTTGTTGAAATTCACTGACCCTTCTTAATCACTTTCTGAGAGTCAGACACGGTCATTGATGCTGTTTATACAGCAAACTAGAGATTATACCAGGCTTCTTCCGGATGAGTGATATTGTTCTCTTCCAATTATTGTTTACCCAGTTTCTTGCAGAAAGAAGCACTATTATTTTCATTGTCAAGCAGCAGCCAAGACGGTCTTATTGTTGCGATTTCACCTTGACTATTTAAGTGCAGACAAAAGCGTTCTCGGTGTCAAAACATCACTCCAGAATGATTGGCAGTCTTCCACTGATCCTCTCCATTGACAACTGATAACAGTATGGTCTATCTATGTCCACGGTTGAGTTGAGTTCGATGCAGAGTGATGTCAGGAGACCAAGGATGTTGTTTCGTGAACTCGAATTGTTATCAAGGGCGATAGAATTGGTGGAAATTAAAGACGACGCAAGAATACTAACCAAGAGAAGTGGGTAAAAGTTAGAAGGAAAAAATGTGAATGATCGATACCAATCTGATGGAACTTGAATGGTGACAGAGTTGTGAAAGCCGTCAACGCTTGCTGGCCTCCACATCATGGGAAGCTATTTCTTCTTCAGCTTCCTGAAAAACAAGGGTTAGTGCATAACCACAGAGCACAAGAGGGTTGTGACACATGGCATTTCTGGAAATTTGATTTGCTGAAATCCACCTATAAACCCATATCGCCGTCACCAAAATTACCCATAGTAGGTGGAGTGTGCCACTTTTGTCACCTCATCCGTCCTTATACAGAAGATAGTATCAGCGTGGTACTGCTGGTCATCTGCAGCAGATATCTTACTGATGTCAAACCCCGTAGAACCAGCCGTACGACTTCGCCCTCAGATGCCATTACAGCATAATAGTCAATACGACAAAAGCAACTGCACTTTGTTTTACTACTATCCAGGTGTTGTAGGACCTCAAAAGAACAAGTTGTGCAGTGGCATAGATTGTTGGGCCTTCACATTACGGTCGCAGCTATTGGTCGGGGGAGTATCTGCTACTATGAGTAAGGCAGAATTCCCCCGGTTATTCGAACATGAGTCACTAGGCTGTGAATCCAGCCCGCCACTTGGAGAGGAAGGTGCTGAGCTCGAAACCCAGTGGGGGAGACCACTCACTGAAGAAAAGTGCGTCTAGCTGATGAGTCCCGAACAGGACGAAACATGCGTCCTACATATCCCTGCTAGTCACCAAGATGAATATGAACATGTCCAACCCATCTCAGTTGACTAAGATTCACAACTTCATTGACTGACTTGGGTAGTGTCCTTCCCCCTGACCTCTATAGTGCTCAGATCGCGATTTTATCATACGTGAGCAACGCTGCGAAGACACGTATGATCAGAACCCTGTAATCGTATCGTGTCTCCTACTTTTAACTCCTGTCTTACAGCCGTGCAACATGACAGGACGGACTACAGCGTTGGATACTCGTCCTGTGATAAATAGTCTGATATCTTGCCAGTCAAGGCCACATGACGCAAGCTGGCAAATGCCAGTTGGACCTTCTCTATCGCAGCTGAGATTTGGTCAGCAACCACCCGGTTCGAGTTGATGCAACTTTTCAGGTGAAGTGGTCGACACATCTCACCACTTCGCCAATCATTAGACCGGGAGCGGCTGCGGAGCATCACCTTGCATCCCTAATATCATACTCAGATTTCTGCCCAAGGGGTTCAGGAGACCCTGCATTTTATCAACCTCTTCAAATAATAGGATAAAATCGTCTGTATACTCCAAACATTTACAATAAATTGACCATTTTTCAATTTTGCAGCTTGTAAAATAATCTTCTAAACGTAGCACATATATTTCAGCATGAGTAGCTTTGGTCGTTTTCTGCTTTCATTATTTTAGGTTTTCTACTCATTTAAAGTTCATCAGTCTACTTTGTGGTGGATAACCAAATGTCAGTTGTGGTCTGTTAATCCACATCACTTTCTTGATTCTCACATTATATAATCTTTCAAAGTCTTCAGCTGTAACAAAATTCTTCCTTTCGTTCATTACCTTGGAAGTATTACCATCAGAAATCGGTGATTTGAGAACACTGACATGTTGCCGAAAAAATAAGTACATTCCGTCCATCGCTGAGGTATGTATACTTGTATGTATTGCATTAAGGCCGTAGGGTGAAGAGAAGATAAGAGAAGTGAACTCAGTAACCTTGCCCACATTCCTGCAGTAGGCAATGGGCCACAAGTATTTGGTGAGGGCTGGTCATACTACTTGGCTGCCCAGACCTCGATTGGTGGAAGGGGGGAGGTCCGAACACATTGGTTAATAGTCATTTCCCCAAACCATTGAGTCATAACGCAATGGCATAGGATACTTATGTATGAACGTACTACTGCAAATAATCTAGTCTCTTAAAGTCATATCTTTGGCTTTAATTATTTCTTAAGCTCCGGGAACTAACGCTTTTGTGCAAAGCAACTAATATCTCGCTTAACATTCGAATGGAATCCTGACAATTCTAGCAGCAGGTTGTCGCACTACTCGATTTTCTTTCATCACCACTGAGGATGCTTTCGGTTCTTGTAGCCTTTGAAATAGATTGATAAAAGGTAACTTCTACTCCCCTGAATTAACTGTTGGAATAACCAGTTTGTAAGTCGTACACGCCTGCATTCACTCTTTGAAATCCTACGTCGAACGTTATTCCTTGCGATAATCTCAACAAATGTGTCTTTAGGAAGTATCTTTAGTGTTGGTGACCTGGCAAAATAGTCGATGCACTTTAAGGTATAAGTCAACCATCGTCATAGAGAAACCTATCCAGTGACATCATGTAGTGGACCTAACAAACTGCAGATGAAATAACAGATCTCCGACCTTTTGACCTTTGAAACCATGAAACATCATGGTGAATTTGAGTTCACGCTCAGCCAAATATATCGATCACTTTGGCTGCTGCACACTTACCGGAATACGAAGCACCATACAGATCACCAAAAACTTGTCACTTAAGGATGGAGAGAGAGAAAATCTGCTATCCTTATCCAAATAGAGACACCTATCAGACACAACATGCTGTAAATTTAACGGAATCACTCTCATCTTCTTTTGGTTTGATCTGATCATGATCTATTACATCTGTGTAAGGTTAATCCAAACGGACTCACTCCCCTCATCCAACTTTACAGAGAACGATCTCATCACACCAGAAACCTTAGTAGATCGAGGGTATGAAGATGACATAGTCCTAATAGGTGAAGGAACTGCCATGGTGAGTCTTCTGGGAACCTTAAGAGGCACCTTCAGGATGTTCCAGCAACGCAGTGTGTTACCACTCCACCTAACAATCAGGAATGATGTAGCTGAGCGTGTTGACCATTTCCACTTGCGAAGAATTATGGTGGCTATGATGAGTCAGTGACTGACGAATTCCCACTATAAATACAAAATGCTCGGTAAGTCTTCGCCAACTTGCGAAGTTTATGGTGCTACCTTGATATCCGAACGCCTACTAAGTGTAGATTGTATGGCAAGATCGAACGGCGCCTTACAAATAGATAATAATGAACGTAAAACTTCGGTGGATTAGCTTCATGATAGGAAAAACGAGATACAGGAGCTAATCAGCGGCTTACAGCTTAGTGACAACGTCATTTCAATTAAAAACACAAGTAGTTTGTTAGAAAGGAAGGTTGGTCTACTTTCTCCGTTGCATTTGGTCAGCGTATTCTAACATGGTTTTCGCAGGTAATGTGGACACAGTTTCAAAGTTATGACTGGTTGGATGTCTGGAAAGATGCCTTCACTCGTCCGATTACAACTCTGGAGAAATGACAGGTAAGTCGACAAAGCATTAATTCACTCTGCGTTTATTAGAGAACATTAAGGTTACTCTACAAAGAGACAATGTATGTGAACATCGTTGAAAGTGAATGAATATTGATATCACTGTAATGTAGTTTATTAGGGACACTGCTATTTGCTACCATGTGGATGCACCTTTAGTCCCTGATAATTGTTGCTGCTAGCGTGAACAAGGTCATTTATTTCATGTAACTCATAAGAAATCTTGAGTACAGTTTCTCATTGGATACTGGTACAGAACATGAAAGCAAGATAATAAAAAAATTGAAAAAAGACAATGCAGCGAAGAAAGTTGTCGTCTTGGAGAATCACTTTTGAAAGTCATTATGGTTACAACAAACTATATATATCCACCAATAGCTAATGGGTCGATGCAGAGTCATCATCCAAAACAGTCCATAAAGTGACAGGGTGATAACAGTTAGAGGTCAACTCAAGGTCAGCAAAGTTATAGGATTACATATGCCACACAAAGTGCGCACGCTCTATTATATATCAGCAAAGCACAGCTCAGTAGCACAATACAAGTTCTGTTTCATGCAATAAACTTTATGCTGTCCCATGATCCAAAGTGGAAACAGGTTTGAAACTGTTAATGGTGACCAAAAGCCTCGGACTAGTGAGGCACACGTATGTGCATATAACTAGTTAACTCAGTCGTTTCCATCACCTTCATTCAATTAAACAACCAATCTATATGACCGGGTGATTCACAACAAAATCAGATAAAGATCCTTGTAATTAATGAAATGAGAAATATGTTAAACAATTGAAGTCTGTACTATCATTTTATAAAAGCATTACATAATATTGTTGATATGTTTATTATTGTCACGGGAAAACTTCGGTAAATAAGCAACCACAACCGATAAACATACCCAAGCAATATGAAAAGAAACTAGTACTCAGTCAGAGAAAATGCAAAATTAAAAAATATATTGAGTAGTTTTTTTCAATAATGATAGCAAATTTAACTAAAATTTTCAAAAAACCCGTTGGTAAAAAACTAGACCTATCAGGAAAACATTAGCTTAAAGATTTTGTTTAATTAAACGACGCGCCTCGTCAATCAGCCGACGTCGAACTCCAACTCCAGACTCATGAACACACCGTTCTATGAGAGTGTACAATTCAACAGGTAATTGATAGAGAAAATTTGTACATCCAGTTGTATAACCTTTACCGCCATATAATAGACTGGTACATATTAGCCAAATGTTGTGATCCGATTTTCTATGAGAGCATAAATCATCTGCATGAGTATGATGCAAACATGGTGGTGTACTGCTGCTTCCAGCATTACCTGAAACGGATACATTGCCCAGACAATCGTGTTGTCTTAAGCCAGTCAAAACTCGATCTAAAGCATGACTGGGAACACTATACTCTTCAGCACTGGGTTCGAACTGTAATTCAGATAACTAAAAAAGCATTTGAAGATAAGTAAATGAAGAAAGATGAATTTTTGTCAAAATGTAAACATTTTAGTTTGCAAACAATACTACATTAATAATAAGAAGATAAATGGCTGACTCTTTGTTACTAAAAATAACCGTATATATACACAAACGAACACTTACAAATTAATCGTTCAGTTGGATCACTCCGATATAAATTATACTGAACAGATTTTTATGCCATTATATAAAAACTGTCTTAGATATGCAGAATAAATTCACTTAGTCAGCACAGAAGATCGAAGCACTATTCACACAGTTATCAGTAAAAATTCCAATAACTGCAGTGGTGATGAACCATGAGGACTGCAAGTTTCATTTGCGATTAATTCTAGTGACTACCAACATGCACTGTCAACATCAGGGACGCATCCAAAATTCAGCTCCGTACACTGCAGAGGTCCCATGAGTAGTGAGTGCTTAGCTTTTCTCTGGAAATCATGATGCATGGATAATTCACTCAAATCTCAGACCAGTGAGTTCAAGCTGTAATGCCCATTTCACATGTTTCAGTCTGGTAGAATCACATACCTTTGCGTATTGAGTGTATCTCGTACCCTAATAGACAAACCAAATAGAAACCATTTGTTTTTTGTGTACGAACAGACGAATGAAACGCACTCAGCCAGCTGCCATACATCTAAGCAGTAGGCAATGTGCTACGCTTATTGTGTGAGCGGTAGTGATACTACTTGGCTGCCCATACTTCGGTAGGTGGAGCGGATTTCGAACCCATGATCCAATGGTTGACAGTTACCTCACTAAACCCGTGAACCATAGCTACCACTGTTTTCTATGTAGCTTCATTCAGTTCAATAAATTAAACATAGGTATCCTAAATCACCATCTAAATGAAATTCTCAGATATACTTCAACGTGCCCATCAGATTTAACAACGAAACCTACGGATTATGGACCGCGTGGCAATCGGATTGCTATTAGGACCCCTCCTAGCTGGCTGATTTATGGAAAACACGAACTAATCGGAAATAATCAGAGAGCCTTATATCTACAAAAGATACACAGATGATAAATCAATTGTGTGACGAGAATACGAACCTCGGAAATCTGCTTCAAACCTTCAACGGTGCCCATCCATTTACCAAATCCACTCTAGAAGCATAAACGAACTCGAAACTCCGCTTTTTTGATATCCAACTTCAAATAAAAGATTATAATTCAGTCCAGAGATCTATCTACCGAAAAACCACTTGGAACCGATAAGTTGTTAATTTTCAAAACTGTATCCCCTTAAGCAGAAACAGAAATCTTATCAGTTCACTCTCCTCAAGAATATGGACGGAGGATATCAGCCATAACGAACTAGGGAGCTTACAAGAAATCCTGGTAAAAAAGGGATACCCACTGAGATTTTTAAATACAAATATAAGGCCGCAAAACGCCACGAGATGAATCCATACTGAGCCGAAAAAGAGTTTACTGTTGAACATCGAATTCAAGAGAGATAATACCGCAGATATACTTGGAAAGAGACTATCAAGATCCACTGGCAGAATATTTTTTGTCGGCAATCTTAAAATCATATTCTCCTGTCAGGAACTCATTCGTTAGTACCCAAAGGATAAGCTGGAGCATTGGGTTACATCAATGCGTGTATAACAGTTTACTTGTTCCTGTGGAGTTTGGTACATAGGCTGTACCATGTACAAGATTTTACAATGCGCTCGTGAACACTACCACAACCAAACTTCACTGATAAGGGGAAAACGGAAATGCATCCTCAGCTCTGTAACACAACATCTAGTAAACACTTAGTTCCTCTTGATAAGTCCTTCAAAATCCTGTATAAAATGCGATCAAGCGACTTGAAAGGAGTGAGGCTTAGATATTTGGGTATAGCTGAAGCATTAGTGATTCAAAAGTTCAAACTATTATTATGCGTTCAAAAGAAGCGTTTACAACCATATTTCTTTGCCATAGCCATCATAGAATATCGGCCACTCTAGATAATTCCGAAATGACGAAACTATTTTTATTTTGTAATCACTTTTTTTACTTCCCCACTACGTAACTTTCCTTTTTGACGCAATTGACCTTTAAGTGGAAGTCACCCTGGAATGTTCTATCCTTTTCACTATCTATTCACGAATGTACAGCTGAGGGAATGATTTCATCGAAAAGAAAACTTTTTCTTCACTGCAATCGTCTTCTGTGTTTTCCTATGACAAAATAGAATTGTCTCGATATTCGAGGTTCACTGATAAAGAAATCAGTTTCCCGTAAGTGACTGAATATAATGTTCTCCAGTCATTAAATGAACATTTATGCCAAGGTAGGAAGCTATAGTTTGGTCAACTAGAGCACAATTTTATACAAAGTTGAAACATTCTGATTAAGAGATACAACGAGGATATTCTTCAGTCTGTCATCAATTGATTTATCCTCTGATGATATGAGAATTACAGTGCGACGTAGCATTGTAGACTTGTTAGGACAAAAGACTTCCGTTAGTACTGAGGTCAGCTAGAAAAATGTCGCTGAGATTCTCGAATATGGTGAATTGGGAAATGTTATCTAGTTCCTGGACAAACGATACGATCATCATCAATGATACGGTACTTGTTAACTTGCTCAGTTGATACAAATAAGATGACAAGATTGGACTCAAGAGAGTTTATTCCAATCAAAATGTGAAAGTATGAATCGAGGAAAAGAATTCTTGAGTTTATATAGTGTTAGTTCCACTGAGGAGAACAAACAAATTAGCATATTAAAAGTGGAAGATTAACCAATAAGAAAACATCGTCCTTAAAAGCGGTAAAATCGAGTGGTAAACGTGGTCTGAAAAAGGCGTGACAATTTTCCATATGACGAATTTGTAAAAATTGAGCATAAAACTTTCCTTTTTGGGGATATTACATTCCCAACAAATGCTTTGAACAGAATTACACGAGTAAAGTTTTAATATTTTTATTTTTTCAGTGCTCATTAACTGCTGACAGTTCATAAGGCTTAGATAGTAAATTCCAGTAAACTTTTGAAGCTTATTCATAAGAAATCAGCCTGACAATAGCATAAGGAAAAAAAAGAATATTCTTTTCGATAACTTCATTTTCAGGTCCGATGTAAATACTGAGGAACTATACGCAAACAATATTGACATTTCGCTAGGCAAAACAGGCAATTCGATTGATGAGGTTGTGAACTTTCATCGACTGAGATGGCTTGGACATGTATTACGCGTGCGAAGCCACCGTCTACCCAGACATACCATTCTAGGGGAAGCTGCATTAGGTTGAAAGAGGGTTCAGGGTGGCCACACCAAGATGCAGCAGTAGTTAATCAAGTCCGTGGCTGCTGGTCTGAGATGTGTGATGTAGACTAACTGGGGCCCCCTATACGATAGCAATCAGCGGTTGATGACTTTTGGTGACATCGCTGAAAACTAGTCACAGTGACACACATGTATTCAATAACTGACGTCTTCTAGAGCTTAAATATATTTGCACTAACCACTTTCTCCAAATTCACTATTCTCCCATACAACTTCGTCTACTTAGATATTAGTCGTTTTCTGTCCACCTGTTCTTTGTATAATACTGTGAAGTGTGGCAACTTGAACCGATGCGCTTGTGTGCGAGGTTATACGTTGATTTTGTCAATGTCTCATCATCATGAATACTCATTCCTTTAGGTTCAATTTTATTCCCACCGTTTAGTATTCTGCCAACTGCTAGTAATTTAAATTTTACCTTCGTTTTTCGTATTGTCTTAAGGTAGTTGGAGAACCATTGAGACCTGACAGCACTGGACAGATGTTTGCTCCTAGTATGGGACCCCTCAACAGTGCGCCTCATGACCCCAACAGAAACTGAACCTAGGAGCTTCATATTTCGAGGCAAGCACGCTACCATTAAGCGAGTGAGTCAGAATTCACTTGCCCACATTTTATCACCTCCGTCGATTTGTGATAAAGCCCGACCTTCACTAAGTGCGGTCTTTGAGTACTTATCCTCACGTCTGACTTGGTTTGCCCCCCCCCCCCCCGACTACGTCTTCTCACTAAAGCTTTGGGAAATCTTATCTCGAAGCAAGTCACTAATAAGAACTGGACAGTTGCTCAATTAGGAGGTTTCTGATGGTGAATTTATTTAAAGGTAGTATTCATCAAGGGATGACACTAGTTGAAGAACCATTGAAAACTGAAGAGTACTCGACAGCTGTTTCCCTACAGAGACAGGACTTTTCGTCAGAAGTGCGCACCCAGGTTGTGAAGTAGGGCAAAGATGACCGATAGACAACAGCCAGAACAGATTTTGTGCTGTCGACGTCTATAGGTCATAGCCTAAGAGTCAATAAAGACTCTTCACACTAGCAATTGAAAACCAACCACGGAAACATACTTCCAACTGCATGTCATGAAAAGATTTCGAAGCAATTTATCAACTAAAGAAAGACTTACTGTCTGAGTGTCCACAACAATAGCATGTCGCAAATTCGAAAGAGTTACGTCATACGTCATTGGGTCCACAAGAAGAAGTGAATTCAAATCAAAATCACCCAAATAGATTGTATAACCATTCGATGAATACTGTTCGTCGTTTGAAATAGTAGTATGAGTAAAGTATGTTTCATTCACAAGTGATTGATGCTCCAAACTCTCTGGAAGGCTGAGTATATTGAGTAGAATCTGTAATCTAATCCAAGCAGATGCCTTTAAGAAGAAAGATGAAGACAAGAAGGATATTACATACAGGGGTTGACTTATGACTATTGAATAAGAAGATGGAATAATACAACCATTGTTGCACAAACAAACTACCTTGACAGAATATAGACGAGGATATTTTAGTGGTTGAAATATTGTTAATCATGCTGACTTTAAAGAAAGTCTACACATCAACAGCTATTACTAATTTCAGGCAATAATCAGCTTAGGTTGGAATTCATCATAGACTGATATCAGTCGGAGGAACATTGGAAATCTGGGAGCACTGGACAGCTGTTTCAACCAATTAATAAACCTCCACAAACCTCCAGATAGGATAATCAACTTAAACTAAACGCTGTTCGTTTACTCACTACTTGTAAGTGCGGCGAATCTTTCTATCGTATTTAAACAATGCAATGAAAAGACGATTATCTCAGAAGCGTTGATGTGATGTATTTACGTTATACATTTCGAACAATCTAATCGCACATGAATCATTTATATAACACTGAGAAATGTTAATTAAGCCAAAGGAGTTATAATTAAGATTAATAACAGGAGAGGAAAATTCGAAGGCAAATATTTTTTAACTAATTGATGTTGATATAGATAATCTTATAGGTCCCCTGCTAGCTGATGTGTACATGACATACGAAGAACTGATTGAAAAAGTCTGATTTTATAAGACTTATGTGGATGGCATGATTGCTATTTGTGAAAAGCCTGAAGAGGCAATGTGCCTATTAGAGAAAATGAATGATGCACAAGGCTACATTAGTCTCACTTATAAGAAGAAATGAACAACAAGCTACCATTTTTAAACATACTGATTAGTCAAAGGGGGTGACGGTTCAATGAGAATGTATATGCACAGAAAGTCGACCTTAGCTTCTATAGTTACTGTCCAGTTTTAATACAAGCGTGACTTAACCAGGTGTTTAAATAATAGAGTTCATCTTATTGGTACAGATGATACAAAAGAAACTGAATTCCCAACGGATATATTGACCTCGAAATGGATATCCATTAAAATTTATCAGCAGATGTAAAATCGGCATAACATTGAGACCGATTATTCAGTATTCTGTCCCTAAGAAAAACGTGTATATCACATTGCCATATAAAGGTGAACCAAACAGCCTAATCTTGAAGAAAGGGTCCAACTATTTATTAGTACGGCTTCACGACCAAAGTTATATTAGTAGACAAAAAAGCCCATGTTTCAACACAAACGTAAACAGCATTTGAACGAGTGAATCACATTCCATTGTTTTTATCAGTTTACATGTATATGTAGACACATACATAAGGAGGAGCAATCGTGACATCCAGTTAAGAATAGTTGAACATATGCCTAACTGGCTCCAGAAACAAATGACTCCTAACAGTTTGATGAGTGCAGACGATAAACATCCTTCCTCATCTATCACAAAATAGACATTAGAAACTGGTTATAAGGTCGATATGAAGACACCCTTGACTGTACTGTATAGACATGGTCAAGGATGAATACTTAGGTTTATCGAAGCGCTCACTATCCATAAATTCGAACCACCGTAATGTATTCACAAACAATTTGTAGATGGCGGGTAGCAGTGGAATCCAGAACGCGGGTTTCGCCCTATTCAGGACTCGACAGTTGGATATACCTGCCTCCCAGTGAGTATTGTTCCCACTAAGACTCAAATAAAATGGTACTTACACTAGTAGTATTTAGTTCAACTCTTCATGGTGGTGGTGATTTGAACTTTCATTTTTTTCGTCTCTTGTTTTCGTTATCCTGTTATTATCTTTCTTAATTATAATTCCATTGGCTTAATTAACCTTTCTCAGTTTTATAGAAATTATTCATGTGTGATCAGATTGTTCTAAATTTATAGCAACAAAACATCACAAGCCTCAGATAATCTCCGTCTTCTCACTACGTTGTTTAAATTTATCAAGGGGACTAATTGTTTCAACTTTCTGGTGTAAACGGCACTATTTGAGTAACATATTACGGGGGACTGATGCCATTGTGCTTAGCTGATTCCTTTATTTAATATTGTCATATATTTTCATGCTCTGATATCATCTCTCCATAATCCGAAGATTTACAATTATTCCCTGTGTGCAAGAAAATAACAACAGTCAATCGTTATTGGTGTGTCCCTAAGCCTTAGAGTCAGCGAATTGAGAGCAATGACTAAACAATAGCAAACGAATTCAACTTGACTACCACTTTGAGCGGATCACCTACGCTTTTTAGGCCCTGAACATTTCCTACACATTCCGTCAAAGATAGTGTTGCTCATTATGAGACAGTAGAGTACAGCAGTCTACTTGCTGCCTCGCCTAACTGTCATCCAGTGTCATCGATAAGAAACTGCTTCACACTCCACTTGGACCCGACCGATAACTGTTACCTTGACGTGCTGGCGGGGCTTATACATCACATTGACCCAACGAGCTACGCTGGTCGAACACGCTTGTTCCCTTGAGGTCCTACCATACCACAAAGGTATGTTGGATAGTGGTTAGACAAAAAGCAGTTACCATTAAAGTATAAACTGCTATGTTATGATAGGGGGTTGAGGGAGAAGTTGTACTTCTGGCTGGACAGGGGATGTCACAGCAGAAAAGTGTTTCCCTCGAATGACCAACAGTGCCACGCTGATGCTGCCTTCCCATAAGGAGGATGGGATTAGAAAAGGTTGGTCCCAAAAATGGCTCACTTCCATGACTCCACGGCGTACCAATGTCTGTGACAGGTATTCATTGTTGGATTCGAAAGCAAAAATCTCAAACTTGCAAAAACACCGTGTGTGACCGGTCTCAAGCAGATGTCCCTTAGGAGTCCACGGTTATGCACTAACCCTTATTTTTCAGGTACTTCAATAGCCTTCTACAGTGTAGGCAGCTGGGAAGTGTCAACCACCCTTACAACTCTGTCAGCAATCAAGTTCCCACACATCACTGTCCACCTTCCCCCATCCCTACTTCCACTTGGCCGACCACACAGATCACCGATGTGTAATGGATTTTTGTTCAACGTAGAGGTTGGACTGATGATCAATTCATCCCTAGACAGAGACTCCAATTTTATTGATTAATTCATGTTCATGGTGAAAATTGTTGGTAATTTTACACAGTGGATTAATTGCTATGAGTTTGGAAGCAGTAAACGTTGTTTGCCCGTAAGTGATTTTTAAGTTGTAAAATAGACACAGGCTTGAAGAGACAATGGTGAGCCCTAACAACTAATAATAAATAATGCCTTTGAACAGCAATCTGAAGTCTTAGCGAACGCCTTCAACCCATATTCTTTCTTAACAAACTTTCTCAGGTAACACTATTTACTATGTGCAATTAGTTCTAAACAAGAAAGCTGCTCACAATTAGGTCACCAAACGGTGGTGATAAGAAAAAAAACATCAAATTATTATATGAGAAATGGTTAAAAACAGTACCAGACAAAAGTGATTCAGAGAAACGCCATGATATTCTTCAACAGACCAACGTCCACAAGAGCCCAAGTAGTTTGGAAAAGGCCAATTTTCTTTGCGTGGAAAAGACTGAATTATGATACTTTGGGGATCAATTGCTAAATTGAAGAGAAACATCAGTTCATCAAAACGTAACCATCGAGTTTCAGCGCCGTAACTTGTTCGTTCTAAAAATCTAAAACACGCAGAATAGAAAGTTATTTATTGAGTATTTAGAGGTCAATGAGGATGATCTGTAGATTTTACCGGCCAGTCCACTCAGAGGGAACCAAACACCGGACGACCGTTTCGCTCGTCATGGACCGAACTCATCAGCGGTATGCCCGGACAAATTCAGCTTATACTCCCGAATTAGTTCAGACTACCTGAATCTTGTTAGCCGACCGGCATGCATCAACCGGTATACTAAAAATAGGATGATTAATTTGCAAATGATCTACGAATTGCACGGTCCATACGTTGATATTTCTCATAGCTGGTGAGCATTTCAATTTCCTAATTGTTGTATCAACAGAATTACCATCGGAAACTATCTAGTCAAGATCTTTAACACAAGAGTGTTATGAACCAGAGAAAAATACTACTACTGAACAACTTGAGCAGTTCAAAACCACTCACGTTGGTCTACGGTTTTTCTCTTTCTCTAGCTCGCTAAATAAATGTTCATTTTTCTACAAAAGCTATCATCACGAATCCAACGAAAAGTAAAATATCTATGAATACCTGTGTTGAAGATGTTCAAACAAACGATCACTGGAACATCTTGTGGCAGGACCAAAACCTGTCGTAATTTCGTTGCCATTCTGATTTGAAGAATGAATTGGTGATAACAAAACTTCTCTGCTAAGAGGTAATTCTATTGAATTAGCATGGGGATCGTGAGTATCAGCATTTGTTGGCCGCCAACGCCAAATTGATAAATGAGGTATGCATGTAAGACTTGAAAGAATATCTTGAGAGACGAAATCAGAACCCTGGCGTAAACCTCGCCGACAAACGGCCTTGTCAACTGCATATGATGTGGCTGGACTTGCAAGGCGACGAAGCAGAACATATTTACTGGTTTCGTATAACCCTAAAAGGTAAGATTTAAATCATGAAAACAATAATGACAATTGTAAACCTATATATTAGTGTAGAGCGCAGGATGCAGACCTAATTGAAAAGAAAATTATTTCTTCGCTCAATCAGTCTTTTTCTAAATGTCTAAATGGGAATATTCAATGAATTGAACTCTAGTAAGAAGTTACCTTTAAAAAAGGTGAAGTCAGACAAAATGACAAGGGAATGATGGTGATAAGACAGGAATATCATATGAGATATCCATTGTTTGGCAGACTAGTATTGATACTGGGTGATGACTGAAGGTGAGATCAAAATTTGGACCGCAACCGGATTCGAAGCAGTCACCATTGAGTTTCCGGCCCGATGCCCTACCAACTGACCTATGAGGAATAAATGCAAACATTTTTCTAGAAATGACTTAAACAAGACCCTGAGGTATTACAAGAGATTACTAGGGGTTGAAAAATTCACAGGACTAAGTAGTGTGAACTATTTAACGTGAATGAAGTATAAATTTATTGACATGCCAACTGGGATAAAATTTTGCTGTTATATAGGAATATGTGATAAACACTACTGGCTGACAAATGTACTTGCAAACCACTCAAGGTAATCAGCTATACTCAATAACTGAATCAAGGCAATGGATGGCAGTTTCGTCAGTTTCGATTCAACTTCATGCACAGTGCACTCGTGTAGTGACTCAGTTCGGAGAAACGAACCATCCGGACTACATTACTCTTCCCCGTTAGCTAAATGATGAAATTCGTGAAACATTTACTAACTTGCGACACCTCTGGTACCGAGTGGCGAAATATCTGACTATCTATCAAAGGACGAGTATACTGTGCTGCAGTCTGTTCTATCCTTCTGTACGGCTGTGAGACAGCCGTTAAAAGTTGAAGGCATGAAACAGTAACACGTTTTGACTATAGGGGTCTTTGTAGCATTGCTCGTGTTTGGTGAAATCGCCGTGTGAGCAATGTTGAGGTCAGGCGAAGGGGACTGGGCAAGAAAGGCAAGTCAATTGATGAGGTTGTGAACCTTCATCGACCGAAGTGGCTTAGACACGTACTGTGCATGGCGAGCCAGCCACCGCTTACCTCGACGTTCCATGCTAAGTAGAGTTGGATTAGATTGGGAGAGGGTTCAACGTGGCCACGCCAAAACGCGGCACCAGTCGATGAAGTCAGTGACTCTTAGTCTGAGCTATGTAGGGTGATGTAGAGTTGCTACTTGGCTGGGGTCCCCGAGAAGAAAGGGATCAGAGGTTGAGAACCCTTGATAACATGACTGAAAATTGGTGACATTGGCGCAGATGCATCCACTTCTTAATGTCGTCTAAAGTTTTTATATTCTTACTAACCTTCATCTTCAGATTGTTTATTCTCTCAGATTACTTTATCTACTTTGATGTCACTTTTTCTATTCACCTGTTCTTTGCACAGTACTATGAAGTGTGGCAACTTGAACCGATGCACCTGTGTGCAAGGTTCTACGCTGGTTTTGTCAGTCAGTCAGGTGTTTGCATGCTTTACGGCCATAACTAAGAATAGGACAACTGGGTCGAAGCTAACTGTGCAATTCCAAGTGTGTCATACTCATCTAGAACCATGCAGTTTTCAAACATTTACCCTGATATATATATATATATATATATATATATATATATATATATATATATATATATATATATATATATATATATCGTTCAAATCCGTGAGTAGATGTTACTAAACGCTTGAAGGCTGAGAAAATAGTGGAAATGAAGCTCATGATAAGAACGGGAACTGCTGAGTATCCTGTAAAATGTTATATTTGGTCACGGCTGTTCCATCATCAGCACAAACTTCAGAAAGAAAGCATGTTTGAATGTCGTAAGGATGTTAGTATAGCATCCTTTGATATTGTGCAGTAGATGATAACTTCAAGTTAGTCTGTTAGTTATATGTTATGCAGCAAAATAGTGTTATCAACTGGATGATGTTTCAAGAACAATTTACCACCCATGATTACATTAAAGTAACTCCATTTCTTGTTTAGTACTCTACACTTGACCTCAATATTACCTACACAATGGTACGACGACGTCGACAGCCAAAAGCTCGAAACTTTCTGAACACTCCTACTTCCAGTGTCTACCTCTAATAGACGTATAATAAGACAGAGTGGAAGGCTGCGGAGTATACTCTTCGTTTGATGGGCAGTTACATGCTTCATCGGCAGCGAAGATAATGAAAGTTGGTAAATGTAAACTGGTCCTTCGTATTCAAGCCGAAATTACGTTAGCAATTAACTATATCACACTGAAAGCTACTTACGTAAACTCCTCAAAGAATTTAACCATTTCACTCTATATCTTAAAATTAGGATGGATAATGGCTAGTAGTAGAATCCAGGAGGCGTGTTCCGTCCTATTTGGGACTCGTCACCTGGATGTATCCCCTCCCACTGAGCGATGTTGTTCTCACAACGACTCGAACCCGGGACCGATTGCTCTAAATGGTCTTGGATCCCACTTTAATACATCATATATTCGGATTTTCACTGGTGTTCGGAAGTCGTTGCATTTTGTCAACGTCTTCACCTAACAGGAGAATGCTAACTGCGTAGTCCAAGGGAACCAACTGCCCTCCGAGTAACTGAACAGTTCCTGAGATATCAGAGGAACGTAGGATCACGTCAATCAATAGGTCTAAGACAACGTTATAAGTAAGAATAGCAATAATATCAAGGAAGACTTTCTTACTACAAGTCAATATTCATTTTAAATATGTTTATAATAAGGATGGTGATAGTAGACACCACTGATCGTCGTTAAGTCGCACGACAAATTTCCAACATAAATGAACGAGGTTGAGTAGAAAGATTGGATTCGCAGAATACTCATACTTGATTTCCAAACAGGTATTTCTACAACACCGGTAGATTAACGCAGTCGAATGCTTTCTTCCCGTAGAGAAATAAGGCAATGCTTAGGCATTCGAAGGCATGTTTGCTCCAAACCCTGGCGAAGTGTAAAGATCTGATCTATGCACGCCCGTCACGTTCTGAAACCTGCATGCACTGTGTACGGTATATTTAAGCACAGCATCATATAAGTGGTCGGAGGAACGATATATTACCTTTAATTATGGTGTTGAACAGTAAAGCTTGTCTTTTATAGCCAACTGCTGGCAAGCCATGACCAGCTGATGGTCTTCCTTCTTTCCTCATGCATGAATCCAAATAGACAACACTGTGGGAATATACGGAAATAACACTGGCTGGTGACGACATTGAGGTATATTTTCAACTAGACTGGTAAGAAATCAATTACCTGAGGCAGATTAATAAGTAGTCGGTAAAATTAGTTGCAACTGCAAGAAAAGTCTTTTATAAAGACAAATTCCTCTTATTTTCTTGTAACTTACTGACGTTCAATTGTAGATCTCTGAGCAAACAACACACCATATCAACTAGGTGAGCCCTATTGAGGTTACAGAATGGAACCGAAATCCACTCATCGACCTTGTCCAAATTCGTGCAATAGATAATGAGCCGTACCAATTATGAGGGCTAATAATACTGCCTACATCTTGGTAGGTGGAGCGATGTTTGAACCCGTAACCTATTGGCGAAAAGTCATCTTCTTAACCTAATGAGTCAGCTCCACATACTGAGATCACAAGTAAAGGTCAGTGCACGAAAGTGTGAATCAGCACTAATCAAGGGATCAATGAGTGTTTTTGAGAGGCAAGTCATCGCATGCAATAATCTTCGCTGAAAAAATCGATTTGGCAAGAAGTTAAATGCATTATCTTTCATGGCAGTAATCACAAGACAATGGGAATTAGTGATAGGAGACTATACAAGATATAATTTTGTAAATGACGCAGATCCATTCACTATTTTTATTTTTTCGTCAATTTTAAATGACTTTTTATCCCAAACATCACCTTTATTATCTACTAATGGATTTTTCATAACTCACTAGTCTTTCTTCCTGTTTTGATGACTTATTCTTCGTCAGCTGTTGAGAAGTGTGACCAACTGTATAGACATACTAGCACACAAGTTTGTATGCTGTTCTGTATCTGAATCGCTTTCAATCTATAGCTATAAATAGTGACTACAGCATTATTCTGCACTTGTCTATTATCCATTTCGTCATGCTTTTCGTCTAATTTTCCCCAGAATATTCGGTCTATCTTGTGTTGATTTCTGTTTGCTTCTCTAGTCCTGATTTTGAATGCGGATTTTTTTATTTTCAGCGATGAACAAAGAATATCCTTTTCGATAACTTCTTTCTTAAAAACGGAATTTCAAGGAAATCCGCCAACAGACCTTGCTCCATACGAGCAGTTGAATTGATAAACATATCAAGAAGCAGACATTTTGGGTATCGGATCTTTCCGCGTCGGTAACACAACTAGACGCGTAAAAAACACAGACTACAATTTTCCCGCATTCCCATGTCCCTTCATTTATGTACTAAAAGCTACAAGATACAGGACACTTTGAATAGCAAAAGTTGTAGTCATTCGACCTAAACAGCCTACCACCCTGGTCAGCTTTGGAACTGGCAACTTTTTGACATACTTGGGTTTGATCATGCAGTATCATTTTATCCCCTATATTACTGATTATTCTAATTGTACTAACGACTGACCGCTATACAGATCCTCACTGTTGTCAACGCCCGTTTATCCTCCGGCTGAACAATATGGATATTTAACTGCAGAACTTAAGGAAGAAGCTACCGAAAAGAAGATTCTACTGCTCACCAAACTCTCTTGAAGTGTAGTGGGAATCATTTTTACATTTTTTTGGCGTCGTCAACCACAAACGTTGTACAATAACCAAAAACGAATAAATCAAAAAATTCAGCAATACTCAGTTTTACCCATAACTGCCTTGAGTCCGACTATAGGGAAAGACAACCGATAATCACTTGCAGTTTGAAAAGTACCGATGTGACCAGTGACCAACTGAATTTCTCCACGGTAGAAATATGAGCAAATAGACTGGCCAGCGCACGCAGGGCATTTCTTCACCTCTAAGACATCAACATCCAATTTCACATTTCCAAAGCAAAATAGGTATGAGATGACGAAATACAAACCAGGCACAAGAAGTATAAAGCAAATAGTTGCGATGGTAAGCTTTAAAGGACCCTTGAAATTTGCTGATTGTTTATTAGCACTGTACTTCAATGCAGCACAATTGTCAGCATTTTGACTATCAGCCTCGGAGATCTAAAATACCAAGAGGAAGATAGCACATTACAATTTAGTCACTACTGTCATATTAAACTAGCAGAGAACAAAACACATCTGATCTAGCATTGAACTATAGGTCACTACAAAAATAACAAGTTACGGGTATTGCATACGTTTATCAACTTGAAACAACTTACCTTTGGTATAAAAGGGACACGTTGGTTCAACTCCATATTTACATAAAACTGAAAAATAAATAATTCTAATTGTTGGTTACATCGTATGATAAGAAAAAGATAAAGGGTTATAAGGAAGATTATAGTAGAATCCAGAGGATAGTTAGTAGCTGAAGAAATATCGTTACATTATAAAAAGAGATCTTACTGAATGCCAACAGATAAGTGTCCTTACTGGGAACAGCACTCCTTCAGAGTTAGACACGAAAACAATTTGAGCGTTTGATAAGCTAGGACAACCAAACAAACTGATTCAGAAACCACATAAAATGATGCCTCCGGCTAAATTATTTCACAGTTTGATTACTGGCGAAAATCTAAGAGCTATCTTCTAAATAGGAGTAAACGATTAGCATCTACAATTACAGTTATAACTTCGGTTTCATACACACATTGACATGCATTACAATGTACGTTCGCAGATTTTATCATCAAGTGTTTCCCTCGATTTCAAGAATCACCAAATCGTAGACCATCTGACAGCAACTAATACCCGTTGCACGACAGGTACTTCTCGTGACCTGGCGAACAACGCTCTGGCGTTTTAAACGATGCGTACTGGGTCCGAGTCCTAGTAGGGACATTATTCACTGGGGTGCAGCCACATACAGTTGACGACTTCTAAGTGGAACGAAGAGCGCGCCTTGGAGTCCCCTGCCAGTCATCAACTAGATATCATATTAACATTTAACCTTTTAACTGCCACAGATCTTTTTGGATATGCGCATGCATTCCCGATGCAGACTGCATCAAGTAAAACTAGTCTAAAAATGAAACCATAATATACAAGACGAGCTGATAACTTAGTAGCTAATTAGGGTTTAAAGTAATAGGCTTCTACTTGGGTGATTTTGCACAACTTTAATCGCTTGACCAGATACGTACAAGTATCTAAAGTATAAATGGAGTGGTAGAGGCCTCAATTTAGCCACAAGTATATATCAGCCGACGAAATCCCTAACTGTTGAATTGAGTCGAATGTACAAGCATCTGCTTTCTTCATTATGATGCGCGAGGTCTTAGAATGCGATAGATACGGATATGGCTCAGTGATAGAATTTTGCATTCATTACTGTACTCATTTATTACATCGATAACGAAGGCCTGTGGATATTGTAGGAGTTGGTTTATCTTGAATCCTTGTAAAACAGTTTTGAATGAACACTTGAAAATGAACATCTACGTACTACATGGACTTAACGGCTTGGTTAGACTGTCCCACTTTTTTTATGGTTCGATTCAACACACATCTCAAAAGGTACTGAAATGTTTATCGCTCGAAGTACCAGTTCATTGTACAATGCGATATGAACACGTCTATAACTCACATTTACCAATCGTATCTTATTATGCTCAATTTTTTCATCAGTGGATTGAAACATGGCAGTCCAAGCACCACCGGATGCTGAAACACATCCATTGTTACATATAGTGGTGAATTGCACCAACTTGTTACTTAAACCGTAGAAATAGAAAAAAAATCAACGTGGAACGTGCCAGACGAGTGCATCCGGCTGAAGTTGCTACACTTCACAAGTGAATGGCCAAAGGTGTATAGGGGGAGAGAAAATTTAACCTGAAAAATACACAAGAGAATGAACTACGATTTGGTATGCAGTCAAATACCATGTAACAAACACTGAAGAATCACACGACTGGAACATCTACACCAACCTAACATCGGTTTAACCGAGGTTCCAGATACGCCTTGCTGATAAGTAAGAAAGCAGGGCTTCTTGTCAACTGCTTCCAACCAACTGACATCTACCAAAGTGCATCGCAATGCCTAGCTGCCTTACCTGGTGGCCACATTACAAAATGATTGGTAGAATTCAATCAGCACTCAACAGTAGACAACATGAAGTTGATTAGCCTCCAGTGACCAATCAATGTATCTAATCCAGTCCTACAGGAGGTCAATTACGAGCCGAATAGCTCAGGGATAACGTCTCTGATTGCAATACTGGGTGACACGGGTTAGAATCTCAGGTTGTCAAGCAAGGTTTCCATTCAACTAATAACTAACAACCCTATAGCGTAAAAAAGATTATTAAACTGCTCCTGGTGTTTAAAGCAGATGTTTGCGGCACAGAATACGATGATTCATACAAACACTACATTTTCTGTAGGCATCATGACCATCACTCAAGCTCAAAAACTTAAGCAGAAAGAAGTGAAAACACTCTTTTTTCAGTTTACTTATAACAATAATCAGTATTATGTTACCAATAACAGTAATAGTAATAATAAGGAGTAAAAACAGGCATTAAAAGTGAGTTCTTCTTTAATAATAAAGAAGGATCTTTATTAGATTAGATGAGATATGACCTGTATGCATAAATATGCGTATATGTGAAAAAACATTTACACACACACACACACACACACACACACACACACACACACACACAAAGAGGATAAAAGGTTATGGTGAGTGTATAGAGAAATTATAATACGACAAAGAGCAATCTCTGTTGGACGAATAAACATGACCATGAAGAGTAGCAAAAAATGAGATGAAATGAAATGCATTTTTTCAGATTTCCTCATTAGTGAAAAAAGAAAAAAACAATTTACAATAAAATATGATTAGTGAAAACTAATCATTTTCCTTTTAGCCAAAATATCTGCACAACTATAACACTCAAAGTATGCTTACAGTGATTAAAACCAATTTAAATAGGAGTATATAAAATATATAAATATGTTGTGAATGGGAAGTAAAAATATGTATGTATACGTTATGCATACGTATATAAGTAAAGGAAAGGAAAGTAGCAGTCAGTAACTGACTGTTTGTGCGAATACACCTCCCTTTCTCTCAGTTCCGTGCAAAATAGTTGAATGCTGAATGTTTATCATCGATGAGAAATATGGTTTAGCTAGCTGCCCAACATTTAAAAAATAATAAACAACAAACGTAGACAATGGTAATGATGCTTTCTGAATATATAAAACACCGGCGAACATTCCACCACCAACGCGATCATCATCATTATCCAGTATAAAAGAGAATTAAGACTGAGCCAGGAACTGCAAGGGAACAGAAATGAGCATTGGATTATTGACAGGAGGTTAATATTTGCACGAATATTATAATAGGTGTGATAAACATAAGGTACTTAAAGTCTGTTGTTGTTAATCACTGTAGCCGTTAGTGAACACTTGTTAGTGCTCGTTTTCTCCTGTCCTAATCTCTAAGACAGAGGACCATCATCTGGCGTTGTTCAATGATCGTATTCTACCGAATATGGTCTCAGGAAACAAAAGCAAACCTACACTCAGAAACTATGCGTATACTCGTGCAGCAGACAATCAGTCACGCTTATTGAGTAGGGGCAAATGATGCTTACTACCTAGCTGCCCAAACCTCGGTAGGTGGAGCGGGGTTCGAACCCGTGACCTATTGGCTGAAAGTCATCTCTCTAAAACCAATGAGCCACAGCTCAACCACAAAAAATATCATGAGATAATAAAATCGAGGCTGATGATACTTTTTGCACAAAAAACTGTTGATTGCAGTGCACTCCACTTTCGCTTATTATATAGGTTTGATTGGCTTCATCAATTAGTTTTGGCGAACCTACTTCATTGCCTTGGTTATCCAGTTTGATCGGATAATTATGTTTGAAAGCGATTAACGACATAAGATTTGCGATGCAAGAGACATAGTCTCCAGAAATATTTAGTCGATAGTAAAAACTTACAGTTGCAAACTAGTGATATGCAATATAACCCAAGTAGCGGATGAAAAAACCCAAAGAATTTTCTGGAAACATTAGCCAATTTGCAGCTCTATCTTTTAGAGAGAATACAACATTGCTACCACACCAAACGCGTTACGGCTAGCTGGTCTAGATAGTTCAACTTCAAATAAATTAAATGAGTCTGAATTCAACTCCATTTACTAAGAGGAATGAGGAGCCATGTAGTATTATTAACCCTTAGACAATAGATATTACTCACTGCTCAGGCGGTGTGGATACTCACAGTTTTTCTCTCAAGGTTTTAATTGGCAAACGTTTCAATGTCAACATGCTAGACATCGTCATCAGTGTACTAGCTGGGAGGAAAACTCACTCTGAACATCACTGTTAAGTGCATGAATCTACAGATGGTTGCTGAGTTAATTTACTAGACGACAGCATATATTTCGTTAGAAAACCTTGGTGATAGATATTATATATACGCATACACTAACTTACCTCTTTGACAGTAGAATTAATGAACTCTTTCCGATCAGACAAATCAACATTAGGATAGTTTGCAAACACCTAGAATAAAGATATGATAAGGAAGTGGATACTGACAATTTATAAACGTAACCGTATTAACGAATAGTAATAATTAGTATTATTATATCTTAGTAACAATAATAACAGTATAAAAAATTATCAGCTAATTAAACTTTTTTCACGTCTGCCTTCAGAGAAAATCACTACAGAGGATGAAAACCAAAAGAAGTTGGGTACTCCTAAGAAAAATCCTATTGATTATCTGGTGAACTATAGTACCGTCTTCAAGCTTCGATTCTGACTAATTCGTTTTCAGTTTTCTCCTACTGATCAGTATTGTTTTGGGTACCTTACGCTATATTGTAATCTAGTATTCCCATCAAATTATAGGAAAACGTTTCAATAGAGATCAACATTTCAAGTCACCAACCGCAAAAACAGCGTTGAAGACCACGTTCGACTCTAAGACAGAGGTTAATAAGAAAGAATGGATGTCAACATCTCAGTCAATGCACGTACACGAATGCAACCCTCTCGGCTTTAAGTACAATGAACAGCCAATGCAACTCATATATATGTAGACTGACAAAAAGTTCACGAAATGACTAAGAACAGTGGTGGGTAGCGAATACTAAAGATGGAGAAAGTAGTGACGATGGTTAACAGTAAATAGTTAAATTAGAACTATAAAGGAAACTAGAGAGAAAAGATCAGTCGTTAGTGAGACTATAAGCACAGAACCTCAGATCTGTGATTCACTCGCAAACTACACAACTAAACCAATGGGTCAAGCACTTCAACGAACAGTTCAACTAGAGTCCAGCCATTATTCCATTCCCTGATGTCCAATCGGATCCCAACCACTACATCAAGATAGGACTCCCAACACTTGCACAACTCGAGAAAGCCGTAAGCAATCTGATATGAAGAACAACAGCAGTCACACAAACTACTATCACGGACATTTAAGGACGGTGTGCGAGGATTTTTAACCAACTTAACTAGTGTGTAGGAGTCAGATATGATCCCCACTGACTGGTTTCAATCACTTATTTCCACAGTCTTCAAGAAAGGTGAGAACTCCTCTTATCATAACCACAAAGGAATCACCTGACGGACATACTGTCTAGTATTCTAGGCTCTGTAATCACTAGACATATAAGTGGAGCCCGAGGATAGTAAACTCGAGAAAACAACGCAGGGTTCAGACTACCCTGTGGGTGCTTCGACCACACATTCCCACTCCACCAGGTTCTGGAACACAGACACCGGTTAGTATTTCTCGACCTGGAGGCTGCATTTGACTCTGTCCATCGACAGGTCTTATAGTAGCATCTATCACTGAAACAGGTAGCAACTAAGTACATTACTCACTTTAGAACTATTTATTCAAACACTCTTGTGCAGGTCAGAGCCTATGGTGAATTATCAAGTGAGTTCCGTAAGCTGAGTGGATATCCACTGTCTTTATTCCTATTCAATTTTATCAAGAAGGTACTTACGGAAGCCTGCCATTCGTTGTCTGGCTTCATAGGAGAATCCTTATTATACCTAGAGTACGCAGATAACACAGTTCCGTGAAGACCAGATTCAGTTTTATTGAGATGTTGAGTGGCTATTTGAGAATGTTTGGGATGCGTTCCTCGCCACCCAAATGCAAATTGTTGCTCCAGGACTGGTCTTCAGTAGTAACTTATCTAACAGTAGGGAGTGAAATGGTTGAGCGCGTTGATCACTTCATTTATCTAGCAAGTCGGACCAGACCTGGTTGACCAGTGACTGACGAAATCTTGGCACATAAACCAAAGGCTCACTTAATTTTTGCCAACTTACACCACTTATGGCGCCGCCGCGATATCCAATTATCTAATAAGGGTCGAGTGTGCTGCGTTGTAGTTCGCTCTGTTCTAGTACAAGGTTGTGAAACATGGACATTAAAGGTACAGGATATGAAGCTCCAGGTGTTTGACTATCATCATCTTCATAGCATAGGCCGTGTTTCGTGGTGTAACCAGGTCACAAACTTAGGAGTCAAGCCTAGAGTTTTGTGCTGAAGAGGAAAGTCAACTGATGAGATTGTTAACCTTCATCAGTTCAGATGGCTAGGACATGTGTGGCACCTGCCTATTCACTATCTGTTGTGTCACACAATGTTCACTCGAGTAGGTTAAGGCTACAAAATGGTCAGTGGTTGTCGGACTAAAGCTGGGACCAGTGCATGAAATATAACGCCATTGGTCCGACGCGTGTGGGGAAATGTAGACTTCTCGAATGAAGTCCGCGTGATAACAGAGACCAGTGACTCAAGACTAGGTGAGATATGGCTTGGAATCGATCTGTGTCACAGGTGTATCCACAGATTATCCTTATCTTAATCGTCATACTGGATTCAGTATTTTCTTAGTCTTCCTTGTTATCTTATCACAACTTTCCATCACTTTTAACTGCTTTCACCTCTTTCATCTTAATGCCTTCGTGCTTGATGTGTTGATTAGAGGTGTGGCAACTTGGACCATCATGCATTAACGCCTGGTCCTATGTTGACAGTGTTTGTCTGTCTGTTTGTTTACCTCTACTGCTGAAGACCATACGCCTAACCATTCCACTACCTACAAAGTGGTTCCATCAATGCAAACAGTGCCGCGAACACAACGATAGTTGAACAGCCTTCGTAAGACCTCAAGTTTTAATGGTCATGTTTCACAGTCATTGAGGAGAGCGTGAATTGCTGCGAAGACAGCATATAAAAAAGAAGTGGTATTAGAATAAATGAAAGGGGTATATAAGAAGGCAGGATAGGTGAACCGAGATTAATAAATCGTCCAGAACTTTGAAACACAAACCGTAGATACATTTACACTATTGTGGTCGATTTTCAGACATTTCACCGAGTGTCTTCAATCACTTATTTCTAAACATCTCAAAGAATCCAACCATACACCCTAAACTGTGATACACTATTGAAACAAACAGTCAGACTGATGACCCATCTTGGTCTAATCACTTAGCTTATTTTCCAATCTGATCCTAGCACAACCTACACGGTATGCTAAGGTAGATAGTAGATCGCTAAGTGTGGTTCATGTTAGCGACCATTTCAGTCAACGAAGGTTCGTGGAATGACCTGGTCCGCTTAATACCACATGTAATTTAATAATCAACCACACATCCATTTCCGAGATATGCTGATCAGTAGTATTACGATGAAACATTCAGTTCAACTTATAAAATGACTTCAGTTAGGTGAACTTGAATTTATAACAGGATAACTAAACTACTAAAATATAGCTGTACAAATAAAACATAAGTGTACAAAAAATCAAGTTAATTTACTCACTTTTTCGCGAACAACTTTAAGAGAAGTCTCTTCCAAATTAACTGTTTGAAGCAAATCGACAATGTGCTTCTTCAACTCAGAATCGGTTGGAGGAAGTGCTTTTGAAGATGCAAAGGTAGCCAAAGGAGCATCTTCTTCATCGGAGTCGAGCACTTTTTTCTTTGATTCAACTTTCTTCACTTTAGCGGGAACGGGCTCATTATCACCACTGTCACCCTCTGTATCAGTTAACTCAGCTTTCTTTGCACGTTTAGAACTAGGCTTGGTGGTTTTCTGCTGTGGAGTCTTTTTAGCACGCTTCTTTAGTGTCTTCTTTTTGACTGACTCAGCCTCACTAGACACATCACTTACGGAGTCATTCGATTCAGAGGATATGCTAGGTTCATCAAAATCTTGGTGACTGGAATTATCGATGCTGGGTTCATTTGAGAGAGCATTCTTCTTGAGAGACCTTGGTTTTCGCTTCTTAGTAGTACTTTCTCCCTTGGATTTACTTTTTCTTCCGTGCTTTTTGACAATTTTACCTTTATACTTAACAGAACTAGCAGTGGGTTTCAGTAAAAATTCTAGCAAACGAGAGGCTAACTGCTCCCGACTTCCAGTGACTTCCAAATTTAATATGCGCAGAGTTTCACGTAGATCAGAAGAAGAACGTCTAATAGGTAAACGGAAGTAAAAAGAATGAGCTTATTCCCTCAAGACAAATGAAAAATAACAAGTAGATTATCTTCATAATGTAAGACTTTCAGCACATATAGTGAATCGCTAGTGTTTGCAGGCTTAAAATTCTAAATAAAACTACTGCAAACGGTAAAAGAATAAAATCACACTAGTAGAGTGTTAGCGCTAAAATGGACAGTTGACCTTCAGTCTATTTACGAACAGTGCCATTCTTTATTAATATGACTGGCGTAAAACTGACAAATTTTTCCAGTTATGCTGCTAGCTTGGGTACTCAACTTTACATAACCAATAGGAATATAGTACTGGGGACTTGAATTGATGCCTTTACTTGTAAAGTTCTACGTTCGCTGATTTGTCTATCGGTCTGATTAACAGTACTATACAGACCAGTTGAACGGATTACAAATAAGCCAACATAAAGCCATAAAATTTAGACATACTTATGTGATTTCCTACAACAACATCGGGACATCGAAATAAAGCCACAGAAACGTAATGGCATAAGAGGCACACTCTTGATTTAGACTAGGCATCACATACAGCTATACAGTAAAGTAATCAAAATGGTGAAACTCACCTATACCCTACCGCTTTATGCCAGTTAGTGAATTCCGATTATCTGGACCGAAGTAGGCGGAGCGTTACTTTAACCTAGAACCAAGTGCTTAGGCTAATGATAAGCCAGGTTACTAAAGTCATGATAATCAGTAAAAACAGGTTGTCGGGCATATTTTTGAAATCTTAAAACACAGAACACTACTGCGATGGAAGAATGTAGCAGAAGGAAGCGGGCTAAAATCTGATTGATATCGTAAACCACTCTAAAGAATTAATTATACCAATTATTAAGGCATTTCAACTCCAAATTACGTGATAGGATGAATATTGTTGTAACGACTAATGACAATTAAGGATCGTCATCTGATATACGCAGTTCCATCTAATTCTACTCAACTTTTTGAAGGATCTGCTATAGGAAACACCTGTCTATGTTTATCTCTCGTTTTGAGGCACTGATCCGTGTTCTGCATACCTTTCAAATGCCTTCAAGTATGCAGATAACAGAATGCCCACAGAATACAGTCTCCCGAAAAATTGGAAAAAAAAAAGTGGTGAACATTTTGTGTCTTTAAGGCGTAAGATGTTTAATGCGGTCCTGTTTACACACAAGCTTAAAATGTTCCCTGTTCACCTGAATATTTATAATTGCTAATTTTACCTCTGTGCTCATATGAGCCTTGACAACCTAAAGATTTTTATAATTTTAACCAGTCTAGCAATAAATTATGCCCCAAAAAGATCAGCACACAAAAACAACATAGCACTTGTTTGAAAACAAGTGAGAGGAGAACTGACTGGTGAAAAACAAGACGCGACTAATAAAAGCGATAGTAATGAAACACTGAACGGAAAAAACAACAGACAGGAGCCGAACAAGCACTAAATTACAAGATGACCAACATTTGATAATGCAACTAAACAATCCGGTAAAGGTTTAGTTATCAAGCCTAAAAGTTTATGATAATACTCAGTCATTTACGCTAAATTAGGATTAATGGAGTCGTAAACCTAAGCTCATTGCTTGGATTTCGGGTGTCTAGTCAAATGAATTTCGCAAATCAATACTTACTAGGATATAAAGAATCGCTACATGTCTCAGTAAATGAATTGCGTCGGCAAAAAGGAAACAGTGCGACAGGTTGACCATGCGTGAATAACCTGGCAACACGCTGAGTTCTGCTGGCAACTACCATAACATATCAGATAGCCGGTTGCTAAAAGTATGAATCCCAGACACCTTAAATCATCTGATTCGCCTACCTAGCACTCAACTTCTTTACCAATCACTTTTTGCTCAATATTTCCACTAAAAATGAACAATACAGCAAGGATGTCGATATTAAAAACGTTAGCTGTTCAAGTGAGCATCGCATTTTCTCAAATGTTGCATTCTCATACTACTCAAAAGTCCTAGACGACGGATTCATAGCAAGTAGTACTTAAACCTGCTTCTAAGATACCGCAAGAAATACGACGTGTACTTCCCCATTAAATGGTTACTAGGCTGGAGTTACTAACAATACGAAAATCAGCAGATAATTAACAGTATGATATATCAGTTTCCTGAAACTGACAAATCATATAATGCAGTGAAAACTTGAAAAAAAAACTTAAACTTACTGTTGGATGTATGTTGACTTTTTCTCGTACTGTTCAGAACCCAGCTCAAATCCAAAACCACGAAATTTTCGTAGATTACTGCGTATTTCACTCATAGACCCCGGTCTCCCGTATATTATTAAATGCAACACTTTGAGATCAACAGGTTTTACTTTTCGGATAGTAGCCTCGATAAGTGGAATTTCTCCTAGTGCTGTCCCACTGGCTCCTTCGAATGCTGCTGAAACAGCTTGCACTGCTTTAACACGTTCTTTTTCTTTAGCTTCGTGAGCCCGATTCCACGTCTCGGATAAACGTTGAACCTTTTTACGCTGTCTTTTCTCACTAGTATCCACCTCATGCCCATTTATTGGTTCAGGTTGTTTAGTCTCTTCTTCAGAAACAGAGACGTTATCCTCAGCTAGAAATCAAATAATGCATAAAAAAATATAGCAGACTATGGTAAATAGAAAACAAATGAAATCAAAGAGAAATTTCTACTTATAGAGCAACACAAAATACTCTCATAATCATATGTTACAACATGAGGATTGAGATCTAGCTGAAATCAGTAAACATTTGGAACCACAAAGGAATCCTAAAAACACGAATACAATGAAAAAAATCCCAATAAATGTTAAACAACTGTGTCCCTACAGCCCCACTTTAAATGATTAGCACGCACCAAATGCAATAAACACACCACCAACTCCACACTTGGTGTGTTAAGTGGCTCACTTGTCCAGACAATCGATATCTAATCACTGTTAAAGGTTAGAACTGAGCTTGATCCACAGGCATCTCACACTATAGATGCGCTTTATTGGCTACTGAGAAAACAGGCATACAAATACATTACAGGCAGCAGCGATAGGTAAAAGTGAAGTTAATCAGAATTATAAAGGAAACTAGAGAGAAAAGATCAGTCGTTAGTGAGACTATAAGCACAGAACCTCAGATCTGTGATTCACTCGCAAACTACACAACTAAACCAATGGTCAAGCACTTCAATGAACAGTTCAACTAGAGTCCAGCCATTATTCCATTCCCTGATGTCCAATCGGATCCCAACCACTACATCAAGATAGGACTCCCAACACTTGCACAACTCGAGAAAGCCGTAAGCAATCTGATATGAAGAACAACAGCAGTCACACAAACTACTATCACGGACATTTAAGGACGGTGTGCGAGGATTTTTAACCAACTTAACTAGTGTGTAGGAGTCAGATATGATCCCCACTGACTGGTTTCAATCACTTATTTCCACAGTCTTCAAGAAAGGTGAGAACTCCTCTTATCATAACCACAAAGGAATCACCTGACGGACATACTGTCTAGTATTCTAGGCTCTGTAATCACTAGACATATAAGTGGAGCCCGAGGATAGTAAACTCGAGAAAACAACGCAGGGTTCAGACTACCCTGTGGGTGCTTCGACCACACATTCCCACTCCACCAGGTTCTGGAACACAGACACCGGTTAGTATTTCTCGACCTGGAGGCTGCATTTAACTCTGTTCGTCGACAAGTCTTATAGCAGTGTCTCTGACTCCATCGACAGCTCTTCACTCAAACACCAGTGGGTGTGTTAGAGCCTTTAGCAAGTTGTCAGACGAGCTGACAGAAGAGTTGACATCGAGGGGTATCTGTCAAGGATGCCCATTGTCTCCATTCCTACTTCATTTTGTCACAGACGTTCCTATCGAAGTCTACCTCTCGTTATCTAACCCCACATGGATTGATTTAACCACAAGAGCTCTTGATAGATCAAGAGTGCGCAGACAACAGTCATGTTAGGTGAAGACGTTGGAAAGATGCAGTCTTCTTGATATGTTGAGTGGCAATCTGAGAATGTTTGGGATGCGTTCCTTTCTATCCACATGCAAGTTGCTGCTCTAGGACTAGTCTTCAGCAGTGCCCCAGCTAACAATGGGCAGTGAAGTGTGATTAAGTGTGCTGAAAACTTCATTCGTCTGGGAACTCGAATCAGAGCCAGTGGGTCAGTGATCGATGAACTTTCTGCTCTGATGCAAAAGGATCGACTGGCTTTCGTTAACTTATGCCATCTGTGGCGCCCTGCGGTGTCCGATTGTCTGTTAAGGGCCGAGTGTGCCGCACTGTAGTTTGCTCTGTTCTACTGTATGGTTGAGAAACAATGCCACTAAAGGTAGAAGATATGAAAAGGCTTCAGGTGTTCCACCACCGTTGCCCTCGAAGTATAGACCGTGTGTCCTGGCATCACATGAGTAACGTAATAGTCGGGTGGAGAGTTTTGAAGGGGAGAGACAAGTCAGTTGATGTCATTTACTATCTTTATCGCTCTTACAACAAAGTGTAGATGGTCCCACGCTTAACTAGGGTCAGTGGCATCGCGTCCTGACAACTGTACAGTCAGTTTTTTCTGAAAGCAGACTAAGTATTCTCACTATAGGGTAGCGTTAGGGGTGGTCTTGTTGCTGTAACTTTTCTACGCCCATTTAGACACACACATTTGTCTGTCAGGACCGATGCGTTATTACTTTCAAGGCAAATGCTCCAGAAGGAGTGGTAATCCTCCATTGAATTGGTCCTAAAATAACTTACAGTGACGTGGCCTGTTTGCCTCACTACTGAGTTGAGGTCAATGGGCACCATGCCAGTTAATGTCTCTATTCATGCCTAAAGTTCAGATAGGCCAGAACTGAAGGGTTGTCTGAGCGCACTTATAGCAAATGATACTTAACGGCGTAAACGAGACTGCTTAAGTGCCACCCAAATGCTGTTTTGTCTGACTTGGCCTTTTGACTTGTGTACTGAAATCTATCCCTGCAAAATCCACATTTAAACGTTTGGTTTCGATAGGAAACTAGACAATTTTCGGTAGAACCCATCCTTGACTTCATATGAACTGCGGTTAGCAAGTTCATAAGTAGCGATTATAAGGAGGAGGAGGCACATCTCATTATTCTTTGTAGTCTTTACTGCCACACTCGGTCGAACAGCACATAGACGAATACCAACTAAGATCCAGTCGTGTAATTCGCCTTTTGCTTTAAGATTAAATCCCTTGCTTACACTCGCAAGACCATGAGAACTAGCCTAAAAGTCTCTAGACGCTTAGGGTGAACTTCTCAAGTTCACAACATGGCTTGATAAGGAAAAGTGAGTAATCACATACGAAACCTGTATAGACATCTTACAAACAGCACACATCTATGAACTGAGAAGCCAAAGTTTCAACCAGTAAAACTTGTTCTCCGATTTGAAGCATGTGGACATTAGAAGCTTGGATTCTTAATTTGTAGCGCGGTTTTAGGAGACTTGAAATGCTATTCCGTGGATTCGAATTGTTATCAAGAGCTGAAAAGATGGATTAAATTTAAGGTAACGTGGGATTACTAACAGATATGTGGGGAGATTAGAAGGCAGATATTTGGAAGGCGGATTGTAGGACTTAAGTGCTCATGGAAGTGTGGTAGTGGCTGATACTTCTCGACTATCCATAGTATGTGTGCATACTTTATGAGGGATCTGAAAAGGGAGGTATACACAACCCAGGTGGGTGACCACAGAGTTCAAGGAATATCCCTTTGCAGCAGATCAGCACCAGCATGAACCGTTGGTCATTCATGGGGAATACCTTAATTCTGTCACCCCAACCAGTCAACAGTACGACTTCGTCCTCAGAACCCCACCGTTGTATAAACTATTTACACTACAGCGGCAAATGCTTCTATTCCCACCACTATACAACAAAGTTTGTTGGCATGATAGGACCAAGAGAATCATTTGTCCTAACAGGCAAATCTTGATGCTCTATTGTGATATTCAAAGCCGAACACCATGTAAGGGTGACAGATAAACTTCACTTCTGATAAACGATGATGTAATTTCGACAATATGGTGTTAAGTAGCCGGCTAAACTCCTCAGATGACAAGTGGTAGTAACATCAAAAGATGGGGACAAATAGCGAGTAAAGATGAATAACAAATGTTTACTATAAAACTAGAAACAAATGTGAAAGAAGGAATTAATGAATCTACATATTTCAGAAATTTCGTCAGCTGGATAATTTACGTACTTCATCATACCCACCTTCAGGTAACGCAGAAGAAAAAACATATAAGCACAATGTAAACTGAGACATGGATAGAGGGGTGAAGATATAAAAATGAACGGCCTTTACAGGTCAAATGGTAATACAAAAAAGGAGGAGCGGATATTCAAATTGGATAGGTTGACAATAAATCAATTCATTCTGAGCAGTACATATAGTGATCAAAAAATTTAGATAGTAGTGAAGGCTAAGGAATCAAGAGGATTTCGGGGTGAGAAATAGTAATAATGCTGACAGTGGGGTGATAACACTGCAGGGCTAAACGTAAGAAAACCAGGTGTATATTGAGAATTATGGTAATAACAATGTAACAGGAAGGTTATTTAAACGAAACAGGTTAACAGCGGAAAATCAGAAGTATAAGAGATAATAATTTAAGGCAAAGAGCCGATAGGGAAGAGTAAATTTGATAAGACGACTTTTCAATTCCGAACATGGTAGATCCAAGCTAAGTAGCATTTCCATCCGCACAAACGGACTTGATTCGAAAACTCGAATCTCACAAGATTAACTCATTCTAACCCTAACAAACTGCAAGCAGTATCAGCTCATAATACTGGTTACCAGTGGGAAAATCTACTGCTGTCACACTATGGACAATCAGCAGTAAAACGTGAGACCTTATTATTTCGCAGTATTTTGATTGACATTTTGTGGTTCATTTCGCTCATCACAGTATGCTCTGAATCGTATTCAATTACTATGTGCAACTAAGCACACTGGACAATGAAACATACATACTATGAGGTGGTTATTCATACCAACTGGTCGACCCAATTCCAGTGGATGGGACCGTAATCGAACTAATGAGATTGGAAGTTGAGTGCCTACATCAATAAGTTACATTTCAGCGGCCAGAAACCCATTAGGACTTATGCGACTACACAGACAAGCAAAGTGGTCAATGCGTTCAGTTATTTCAAACCTTTATTATAAGACGTTGCACTAACGTAAGTAAACAGCAAAAAGCAACAGTTAGGATCTGAAAGACCAGAAAATGACAAGACGAAAATAAAGCAGAACTTAGCACACCAGTGTATCAGTTAAAGCTAATACAGTTTACAGTGGTACACAAAGAACAGAGAAATAGATATATTGATGTCAAAGCAGACGAAGATATGTCACAGAACAGACAACTTGAAGATCATCATCATCAATATCAACATAGGACCAGGCATTACTGCGTAACGGTTCGAGTCGCCACACCTCATACCAGTACATCAAGTAAAAAGGCAGTGAAGTGGAAGCTGAAGATAAAACCCAGCCAAAAGAAATATGAAGTAGGAAAAGAGAGAAACGAAGAATGAGAAAGTGGTGACATTCAGTATAGCGCCATTAAGATGAGGATAATGTATGTATACATCCGCGCCACTGACATCGGTTCTGAGCCATGTCCCTAGTCTCCAAAAACTGGTTCCTCTTGTCCCGCGGACCCCAACCACCTAGTCTGCATCGCCCCACACGGCTCAGGTGTCGGATAAATATGGATACTGGGATCTTGGACACAATATTAGTCAAACTGATCCCCTTATGGTTGTCACACAAAGACCTCTCCCTTATAGAACACTACTTAGTACCCCCGTCATTTTAATTAGCAATTTCTTTGGAAACTTCGGTTGACAAACTGTCAGGTCCTTCTGCTTTGCATAGTTTCAGGTTCCATACAGCTTTTTCAACTTCAAGGAGAGCTGGAGGACTGACATCTACGTCTTATTCAGATTCAGGCTGGATGTTGGACTGTGCTTTGAAGTGCTTCATCCAACGTGTTAGCCGTCTGTCGCGGTAGCTTATCAGGGTACTATGCTTTTCCGTGATTTTCTCACTAACCATCTGCTTCTTTTCGCCTTTATCCTTTACAAGGTTGAATAGTTGCCGGATATCACCTAACACTTAATACCTTCCCCGTCTCTCTCGCTTTCACCACCCACCACTGTTCGTGATCGATGCGAAGACTTGGTCAATTTATGTTTGAGTTGCTTTCGCTCTTCATTGTGGTCAGAACCAGCTGGAATAAGTCTTTTCGAATGAATCAGTTCACATGACGTTGTGGGAATCCAATGACGTTTTCTAACCTTTGTGTGTAGTTACCAACTGTTTTTAACACTTTCTCTACAGCAGACTTAGTATCATGACAGGTTTCCTCAGGATGAGCACTGCTGTTACGTTCAGATAAATGCTTAGCCAACTCCTCCTTAAATTCGGACTTGACGTTCTCATCTTCCAATCGACCATAGACAGGCGATGCAGACTAAGTGGTTGGGGTCCGCGGGACAAGAGGAACCAGTTTTTGGAGACTCCAGGTGACATGGCTCAGAACCGATGTCAGTGGCGCAGATGTAGAACATTTCCGATTCCGAATCAGTATCAACATTTCCGCAGTGACAGCACTGCAGGTCTATAACCACCTAAGAGGCATTATATCAGTGTACCACCGATGTCTGCAAAAGGTTAGATCTACGTACGAAACGAATAGTAAGACGTCAAAAGGCAAAGCGGCATTAGTGCAAACGAATTCGGCTACCCAGGAGGTATATAGGACACAAATAACCAGAAGCTGGGACTGCTTGTCATCTCCGTTGTTGCTTACAAATAGCTGATAAACGACTTTATTTACAATAAAAAACAGAGCCCATTTATAATTGAGTTTTCATGGGGTTACCTTTGAGGAATATTATTAACCTCATGAATACCAACTAAAGCTTGAAAAACGGTCAGCAATGACGAAGTTACATATTCTTAACACTTGCTCCACAATAGACCTCTGCAACATCGTAACAGAACTGTTATCTGTACAAAAGCATTGATATATATATATATATTATATATATATATATATATATATATATATATATATATATATACGTATACATTAATATATGTTCGCTTATGTTCACCGAAAAGTAGTTAGCCAAAATCGTTTCGGATTTGTTACAGCACATACAGCGAAAGGAAGTACTCAATATGTACTTACACTCATGTTTAGATACATCACCGTGACTTTCATCCTTTTCTTGATGGGAACCATCCGGATCTGTCAAAATACACGTAACCTCCATTCTGAACGCAACTCCGAAACACCGCGGTTAGTAAGTTTGAATTTAAGGTCATCCAGTGCCCAATGTGACATCAAACAACTATTCTTTGAGTACAGAAAAGTGTGGGGTTTTGAACTGCCTTTCTCGCATCTTGAGGCTTAGTTCTTGTCAATCTTTCGTACTCCTTCGACGGATGCAGGCGCTTTTTCAGCTCACCTGCGCATAGCTAGGGAGGCAGATATTATCACGTCAATTTTCTTTGGTAGCTGTTAGAATGGTTCTTTGGGTGATCAGTAGGTTTTCTGATAAAATCGGCGTGCTGTAATCGATTCTCACATGTTTAGGTACCCGTGGGTAAGTACCAAAGCGTTAACCTAAAAGTACACTGCAAAAGATTCAACTGGTGGATAGGGGTGGGTAAAGAAAATGAAATGCGTAAAAAAAGACTGATGGAGGATAATAGCAAAAATTATAGCGGAGACAGTAGTGGTGATGGGTTAAGAGTTTTCACTAAGGCGTTAGGTGTCAGCAGAGGGACATATAAGCAGCCGCACCAGCTCACTATTTTTCCCAACATTCACTAGGAGTAGTCAGCACTGAGGTCTGATTATTTCTTTGAGCATATCATTTCCTGAGAAGTATAATCTGGGAAAAACCAAGTTGAATCCAACCTCCATTCCAGCCATTCGTAAAGCATGTGAAGAAAGTTCCCAAAAACAGAAATGGATCAACAGATACCATACTTCTCTGCTTTCCTGGTGACTTCGATACTTTATGGATTATCCTTATGTTTTCAAGGGAATAAAACATATGTATGCACCATTTAAACTCTTTCGCTTTATTCGAAAATGTGTATTTATCCCTAACATTATTCACTGGTGGATGCCACCCTGAGCGAAATTTATCTCCCATTGATTTCTAGCGCACTCATATTTCTGTGGATTTGAAACCTATTACAGCTGGTTTACACAGTGGCACTGAAGCCAAGGAACAAAATGATCGGCAGTTCAAAATAATGGTTCTATCAAGGTCCGATTTCCAACTTCTTGAATTTTTAGAGTACAGCATGACTGATGGTCTTTGTGAACGTAGTTTAGCGACCCATCGCAGACTTTAGGACACGGATGGGAAGAACCATGACAATCTTGACGAGTTAGAAGTACTTTCTTAGAACAACTGCAGTAACGCAACGACTTCTGTAACTCAGCGCTGTCCAGTAACGTGCTCCAAATATACTCATTTCGGCCATCAAGCATTTACGCTTTCCTATGTTCCGTAAAATTCTCTCTTGACATCAAAGTTTGCCCAAGAAGTGTGCTAAATAATATCACTAGATTAGCTGAGGAACTCAACAATGAACGCTTGAAATTAATCTACGAATTCTGCACAAAATGGCTGGCCACCCTCTTCTTCCCTGAACACTAATAAGGTTGTCATGGCTACTGCTGTGGTTATGAAGTTCGCTTCTGGTGACTGTTAGGTCTTCGGTAACCTCTGACATACTCATACAACCTGCAAGTGTCCACAGATTTCCACTTACTGCATCTAGTGAAGGCCACAAGAAACACATAGTTCAAAATTTCCACTAAATACAATATCTTTCTGGGATGTAGAGCAACTCAGTTTCAGGCCATGCCGAAATTTATTGGACTGCCTGGCAGTGGAGGCAGTGAAGAGATTGCCTTCGTCTCAACAGACCACAGTTTATAACGTACCGGGTACTTTATCGTTGGAGATCGTTAAGGAAAAATCATCAGACTCATACGGCATGACGGAAATGCGCCCCCGCAAGAGTTCAACAGTCCAGACATTGTGTGATTTTCAGCTTCGCCACCTCATCTGGCGCCTATATGTTTATCACCCTTCAAGACCTTGTAGCGTCATACACTTCCCCAAAATCAATAGCCTAGGGTTTGACGACTTCGACATTGATGCTGACCTTGATAGTTTAACTGGACTCGCTAAGCTGAAGGCATCCGGTCAAGCATCCTCGCCATTTGGCACGCTGTCGTGTTACGTTGCATTGCTCGTATTCGACTCTCTAGCCAGTTAGTTGGAACGCATCGGTATTTTGGCATAACCATCCAAATATACTATTCCATCCGACTACGCTATCGTGTTCTTCCTTGGTCTCGTATTCGTGGGTATATAACAAGTTCGAATAATTAGTGATTGGTCTTTGCGTCTGTCAAGTTCGCACCAGGACAAATCCTAAATTGGTGAGCCCGACGTGATCACATATCCCGACCAATAGCAAGTATTGAATTGGTGAGCCTGTTCCATTTTATATTTGTTTATTGTTTTCATTTCGATAACATTTATATATCCATTTACTACACTTTCTCATGTCCGACCACACTCCCAAGCTTATTCGTATTAAGCCGACCTCGAACACGATCCAACTCGTGCCATATTGGCCAGACAATGCAGAAACATGGTTTCTGTATGCCGAGGCCGATTTTCGAGAACAGGGTGTCTCAGATCCTCATCTCGATTTCTTGCTGTCATACGTTCACTACCGCGAGAATTAAACAGGTTGTTACAGCAAACATGTTTAATCCTGAAGTAAGTGACCCTTATGCACTTCTAAAGGCTGCACTCTTGAAGAAAAGCGATCTCACAGATCGCCAACGTCTAGACGAATTGCTTCGTAACATCGAGCTAGGCAGCCACTCAGCTACTGAAGTCCTCGCACGCATGCGAGAAGTAATCGGTGCACGAACATTTGACGATGGTTTCTTCCGAGAACTATTTCTCTCGAAACTACCACAACCGGTGCAAACCGTGTTGGTGACACTCCAGTCAGTCCCACTCGACGACCTGGCAGCTTCAGCAGATAAAATACTGGAGATATCCAGCAGACCCGTCTCCAACGTATATTCTATCTGTGACAAAACAGAGCGCCAGGATTCGGAGGTGACCAAGTTGTGCAACTCTGTGAAACGGTTGCTACGATCTCGAAGTCCTAGATCACGTAGCACTTCACAGAAACGCACCTTGGCGCATCGCAGCAAGTCGCGTGGTAGCCCTAAAACGAAACCCAACAGGGTGGAAAACCCTGAATGGTGCTGGTTTCATAACACTTACGGGGATGAAGCCAGAAAATGTCGTAAACCATGCCGTTTTAAGAAGGACCCGAACTCGGGAAACGGTCACGCCGGCACGTGCTCACGGCAACCGTAGCCGGCGGAAAAAGCCGTTTGCTCTACGTCACCGACATTAAAACGAAAGTCCGCTACCTCGTCGACACCGGCGCAGAAGTTAGCGTTCTTCCAGCAACGACAAAGGAGCGTCATCTCGACCCATCCTTCAATCTTCAAGCAGCCAACGGCAAGGCAATCGCGACATTCGGGAGACGGTATGCCTACCTCAACTTAGGTTTACGCAAACCTATTCACTGGATTTTCCTCCTGGCAGACGTCTCTATGCCCATCATTGGCATAGATTTGCTGAACCATTACGATCTACTCGTAGATGCTCGCCGTCGACGACTGATAGATAACAACACAAAGTTATCTATTGGCGGCACCACCTATGTAGGTCCGAGTTTAGCCATCGTTAGGACTAAACAATCAGGCGACGCGTCCTACCAGGCAGTTCTGGAGAAATATCCAGAGTTACAACAACCGAAACACACTCTTCCGTGCATAACCAGCAATGTTATGCATCACGTCACAACCACAGGTCCACCTGTGGCATCCAAAGCTCGCCGTTTAGCCCCCGATAAGCTGCAAACGGCGAAAAATGAATTCGACCATATGCTGGAACTGGGCATTATCAGACCGTCAAACAGTCCTTGGGCATCGCCATTGCACATGGTGCCCAAAAAGGATAGCAACGACTGGCGTCCGACCGGTGATTACCGAAGGCTTAACGCCAAAACAACTCCGGACTGCTACCCTATACCCCACGTTTACGACTTGACCGCAACCTTATGCGGCATGAACATTTTCTCGAAAATCGACTTAGTCAAAGCGTACAACCAGATACCTATGGCAGCAGAAGATATCGCGAAAACAGCCATTATTACTCCTTTTGGCCTGTTTGAATTCCTGCGCATGCCTTTTGGTCTTCGGAATGCAGCACAAACATTCCAACGCTTTATGGACGACGTCTTCCGTGGTCTGAATTTTGTTCATGTCTACATAGATGACTGTCTAATTGCGAGTCCAGATAAGGAAACACACCTTAAACATTTGGACCTCGCATTCGAAAGACTCAAAAAACATGGCATCACAGTTAACTTACAGAAGTGTGAAATAGGAGTTGAATCACTCAGCTTCCTTGGGCATACCATTGACAACAAAGGTATACGCCCATTGAGAGATAAAGTGGCGGCTATCACAAACTATCCAGAGCCGACCACTGTGAAACATCTCCGCACTTTCAATGGCCTGGTAAGTTATTACCGAAGGTTTATCCCTAACTGTGCCTCTGTCATGAGACCACTCACAGATCTACTTCGAGGAACTGCGAAGTTCGTGTCTCTGGACAACGCGGCTAGACTTGCTTTCTCCAAAGTCAAGGAAGCCATTTCGAACGCAACCATGCTTATGCATCATGACCCCAATGCTCCTCTGAGTATTGCTGTTGATGCATCTGATTCAGCAATTGGAGCAGTTTTGCAACAGTTGACTGACAACCAGTGGCAACCGTTAGCCTTTTTCTCGAGGCGGCTGCAAGACGCGGAAACAAGATACAGTACATTTGGTAGGGAACTCCTAGCCATGTACTGTTCTGTACGCCATTTTCGACATTCTGTGGAAGGTCGTGATTTCATTATTTTCACAGACCACAAACCGTTAACGTTTTCCCTCAGCTCGGCGTCTGACAAATACTCCCCTCGTGAGTCGCGACAGCTGGATTACATTTCCCAGTTCACGTCAGACATCCGCCACATTTCTGGAGCAAACAACTCCGCAGCCGACGCACTATCTCGAATAGCTTCGATAAACTATATCGAGGGTATTGATCTCGTTGAACTAGCTCGGCGTCAAAAGGAAGACCTTGAGCTGCATCATGAGTTGTCGTCCACAACTCTCAAACTGCGACTTTGTCCTGTTGGATCAGACAAGGATGCAA